CGACAATTTGGGACTAAGCACAGATAGAAATATGAGCCGCAGACATGGAGAATTACCTTTGCGTTTTCTAATCTTGTTTTCACAACTTTGTCTTTGCTCGAATTCTTCTACTTCTTTGAGCAGATCACTCCTCTCCGTCAGGGTCAAAATCTCCTTCAGGGTGTCGAGGCAGTCAATTCCTAGTCAGTCGGTTTCTTCCAGCTCCTCCAACAATGATCGCCAACATTAAGAACGTTGACTTGTCTTTCTTCCGCTATCTGTCCTCTGCAAATCGAGACGAGTCGTTCCAGATCATTTGGCTCGTCGAGCACTCGAATAGTTTGCTCAAGCAAGTCGTTGTATTGAGGGGGGCGTAAGGGGGGTACGAATACCGCAATACCGCACATGGTAGCGCGAGAATACCGCAATACCGCATCAAAATTTGGCAAAATACCCAAACCGCAGTTATACAAATGGGAAAAAGTTGTCGTTGTCACTACTACAAATCCTTCTTTCAAATAGAAATAATACTTTTATGTCAGTGTTTCCAAGTCAAGCTTGGTGCGTAGAAGTGCGTGCGATAAACATAAGATCGTCGCACTCGTTTAATTTTGTTCATTACATGTATACGTTTACGTAAATGACACAACGGGGTTACTTGGGTTAATTTTTGGTGGGTATGTGCTGCTGGCCTCTCAGAGCTCCTACCCCATTATAGTCTATTCTGTGGCCAATTATAGACCCCATCTTAGTCACTTTTGGACAAATACTTAATTTTCGCGATCCTAGCTTAGTCACGTTCTATTTTTATGAATTGACCATTTTTTTAGATTGAATGAAGAACACTTTACTTTTCATCTACAGTACAAACATTCTGATACGTTTGCTAACCGTAAATATGAAGAACTCTCTTACCCTCAAAAATCAGAAAATGCCCGACCCCATTCTAGTAACTCTCTTGAAAATGCGACCCCATTATAGTCAATCCACTCGTGAAAATGCGACCCCATCCAGCGGCACACCCCCATTAGCCTCTTATAAGGAAGTAACCCCGCCCCCTCCCCCGGGTTGCCATGCTACGTAGGCTAAGCACACACGAATACTTGTACATTCTATATTTCTGCATGCACAACGAGAAGGACGAGTAGTAAATCTTTCGACACTACGCAATGTATAACGACCTCACTGACCTCACTATTTGCTGGAATATCTGACTGATCACTTAGTTGACCCTCTGGATAGCTCGCCATTGTTTCGCGACTGGCACGAAAGTGGTGGTAAGATTCGTAAGGAGGTTAACCAAGCTGACTGCTCCCACAAGGTCTATGAGGTCATAAATAATGCCACATGTTTACGTATCATTGGATGAAAAAGTTAATGTCGTTAATCATATCAAGTATTAACTGAAATTACAAGCCATACGATTCGTCTGGACTGCTTGCGCAATATACGATCCCCGACTGTGCAAATATAGGAAGATACGCAGGCTACAAAGGGAGACCTTTTAGGATTTGTATCCTCTTCGCATGAAAAAGAAGCAGATCACTTCGACACAACGATTTTTTCACCGAGTACCGCGACATAAAATTTAAACTCACCGCACACCGCTTGGTCTAGGAAAACCGCAATACCGTACTTTGAAATAAAAATTACCGCAACACCGCACCAAAAATAACCTAATACCGCAATACCGCAAACCCTTACGCCCCCCTCTTGTATTCCTCTCTCTTTGTCTCAAACTTTTCAACTTCCTCAAAAAGAGGCCATTCGTTGACTCCTTTCAACATGCCTTTTAATAAAACCAAATGATCCGAACTCCGAAATCCTTTCTGTTCCAATTCCTCAAACAAAGAGAAGGTTAAGTAGTCCTCGCCTCTGCGAGCTGCCACCTTTCCTCTTCACATAACAAGTAACTGTTCGCCCACATTCAGCTCGTCAAGCCTCCTGCTTATCTGATAGAGTAAATTTTTGTATTCCTTCTCTGGCATCGTGACAACGGGTTTAGTTCAGTCTCCGTTTCTTAATTTAATATTATATACTCCAGCCAAAATGAATGATTGTGTAAGCCAACCTTAGCAATGGGTGGATGTTATGTTCGTTTGTATTACCGTGAAGTGTTGGTAAAGCGATCTTCAAATTCGTTTCCAGGGTCTCTCTATCTTATTCACTCTGAAAAGAGGCTTTTAAAGGTTCTTACCGACCAAAAACCAACCTCAAGTGCATTTTATTTGAATGTCAATATATTTAGCACGAAAGTAATCATTTGGAGGCGCCCATGGAGACTGGACCACTGTTTTAAGAAGTCATCTACGCGAAGTTGTGGCTATTTGAAGGGCTGGCAAGACCTTCAGTTATTGTAGAATCCTGCGTATTGGTCTAGCCCTGGGAATCGAACCCGCGACCTGCTGCTCTGTAGTGAAGCGCTCTACCGACTGTGTTAATCTTGCGCGGTAAAAGGCTAAGTATCGTTAAGGTCAACGTCAAGACGCTCTCTCTGGTTTCGGAACCGTGCCATGCCGCGCTTTACGAACAAAATCATCGGAGAGTCGAGCACCATCCAGGTTGAGCACGCAGAACACCTTGTGTAAGATCAGACAAACGTCCTAGTGGCTAATGGCTTGAGCTGTTTGAAAATCCTGCCCAGCGGTTCCTTGTGGACGAACTATTGATGGAATCCAACCAGTCAGAATGTGGGACACAGCTTGCGCGAGAAAGAGACTGTGGTTATTTTTATACATCACCAGCGAAGCAGACAACAGCATCCATATCAGTTCTATAATCATGAAGTTCGGTGGACGGTATGGTAGTGGCCCGCCCGCAGGACTCTTTCTAAGCACTTTGGTGCGGGAGACTGCTACCAATATATGCCGTGGGCGCAGACTGGAAATTGACTCGTAAGTAAAGTTTCTTTTGAGAGTTTTAAAGTTGTGATTTTAGTTATCTGAGGAAAGCATTGTCCTTTTCCCTCGTTAGAACTACGCTTATAGTGTTGTTATAGTGTTTTTCGCATAAAACGGCTTGTTCTACGTATGGAGATAATAGGGCACGATAAATAGGCCATGTGTGGATGGAAACATGAGAGAGATAAGAGTCACGTTTAGGCCAAACGGAAGTTCTATCAATAACAATTGTTCTGGAGAGTTTTTATCTCCTTATTCAACTTGAATGTGACCTTTGGCGTTTGCCGTAAACCTGACTCACTCTGAATCTCTTTATTTCCATTGACTGGCTTAATATTGCCTCCTACAAGCTTGTATTAAAGAGTCACGAAACAGCATTTTTCAACTTAGTATTGACAATTCATGTAGATGCAAAGAAAATCACTGCTTCGAAGGAGGCTCAGAATTCTGACCCCCAGCTAGTGTTATCTGGAATCACACGCATTCTACCACACTTTCAATTTTTCTCGCCCCTATTTCGCGGTATGTGATAATTGTACGGTGTACATCTTTTCATATTCTGTGTTAAAATTATTTTCAGGTATTCTCCGCTCCAAATTTCTCGTAAACTGAAGATTCAACATGTCGTGAACAAATATCGCTATAAATGATCTGTTCCCGCGATTTTAACATGTCGTTCTTTACCAATGATGCGAAATAAAGTGCAGAGGCATTTCCTTGCCTTTAACTTGCAGTGCATCCCGAACTTCAGAAGTTATAATCACGTTACTTAGGTTTTATTGTAGAAATTATTAATAATAATGACGTTATTTATCTCCTCAAAAAGGCTTTTCAGCTTAATTTACAATGTCAAATGTTTAAAACTTAGTTTTCCAGAAATACCCTTAAAAAATGCAGTTTTATTTTAACTTTAAATACATCTAAATTAGTGATAGACTGAAACTCGTCTGGGAGACTATTCCACAGCTTTTGGCCTCTGAAGGTAAACACGCGCTTACCTGCAGCCGTCCTACAGAGTGGTATATGTAGGCGGTCCCTATTCCTAGTGTTGCAGTTGTGCACTTCCGATCTGGTTTTAAACTTCTGACAAATATATGGAGGTGCAAGTCAAATAAAGCATTTAAATACCATGGTAGCAACCCTAACCGCAAGTTGTTTAATTATGGTTTAATTACATGACTTTAGCCACTAGAATGATATTTTTTATTTGAAGAAATGTCCTATATTAAGGCTGGTTATATTACATCACGGAGACTGTGTTAAGTATTCACTGTCATTATTGTTATCATAACTGCATCCAGTGATGACAAGTAGTAGCCTGTTCCAGGTCTCCAGATTGTAGGGATGACGCGTAAGTGAAAGGCACGCAAAAATATGAGCACGTGATCTGGGAAAAGGGAGCTACAATTTTGCGGAGCGTAGAACAGGCTATAGACAACAAGAAGTCAGTCAACAAATTATGGGCATGAGTCGGGTGACCCATGATGAGTTAGACAATAAATAAATAATACTCCATGAAAAGTGGGGGCGTACGGTATTTACGCACTCGTTGTTTTTGTATCAGAAATCTCACTCGTTCAACAACTCGTGCGTAAATACCGTACAAAGCACTTTCCATGCGGTATTGTGTTTATTATATACATATATAGACATTCATCATTTTGCCAGTCTGTTAGTTCAAATCTTTCCAGAATCCTAAAATGCCAAAATATTCCTCTACACACCGTGAAATGACAAAGAAAACGAAGTAACTTAAGCTTATAATTTTATTAGTATTAAAAAACGCTTGGTAAAAATTATAATGAGTGTAAGGATATGAAATAATCCAGGAATTACAAGTAATATTAACTTTTTTCTGAATGTACATATAAAAATGAACGATTTTGAGTAAAATGACCGGTTTGAATATAAACAGAAGCAGAAGCATATGGCTTAATAAGCTTAGCTCCGATAAAAAGTTCAAGTACAAGCTTACGTTTCGTCTCGTTCTGTTTTTTCCCCTTTCGCCGTTATTTTGCCTGCTCTCGTCAATTTTCATCATCGATAGTGAAATATCCAAAACTATTCCAATCCAATTTCCGCGATTTTTCTCCCTTTGCTTCGAGAAAAACTCTACTTTATCGGGTCTTTTCTTCGGAATGTTTGCAAAGCAACTTGCAAGGCAAGGGCGCTGCAAGCTGTAAGCGCCTAAAAACGGCGGGAATTTTGGCGCGAAACTCGCTCACCTCTGTGGCTTTTGATTGGACGTGTCATTTTTCTCACACGTGAAACAACATCGTTCGAGATTCTGATTGGACGTATCGCTTTCTTCACGTCGGAAAAGCATCGTTCGCTCCTCTGATTGGCTAGCTAGAGCTTATTTGCGTATGAAATTTACGTCATAGCTTTTCACTGAGTATATCCGATTATGTATGATATACAGATTTAGCCAGGGCTAAAAGCGAAGCTATCGATTATATTTATAAAATCGTGTAATGCTAAGCGGGGAAGGCATGAAACGCCGGAAAACGGTGAAAAACAACAATAGGTCTAATTAGCAAAAGCAACTTTGCACGTGCAGCACACTTTTTTTGTACATTTCTTTGCCGTTCATTTGCACGACTACAACGTGAAACTTCCAGAAACGTCTTAGTTACACGTTTTATGGAGGAAATGTCGTTCGTGTTCCCGTTCACTTTTTTTCACTGTCCCTCATTTTCACCTTGCATTGGTGGCCGCTAGCATTTCTCTTTTTGTCACCGCCACTACAAAATTTTCATGTTGTTCTTCCAACAAAAAAAATGTTTCCTTCGGTTTTTTTATCTCTCGCTCTAAATCCCTGTCGCTCTTTTTCTCGTTGAGCTTCGCTGGCCTGCCGTCCACTTTCTTTTTTTGTCTGTCTTTCTTTTGCTCTATATTCCAAATTTGTGGACATGACAATTTATATAAGCTTAATACAGAAACAATTTTCGCTTTCCGTTTTCGTCTCTATTGACTCTTTTGTTGTCTGTGCCTCAGCTATGCGATTTCCCACCAAAATAACCTCGAGTTGCATTTGGGTTACCATACCCGTTGATTGAGTTATTTTACATTGGTATGCCTGTGGTGCGGACGAACGGTCTCTCGGGCGGGCGGTCGGTGTACAGTCACGTGATTACCAAATTTTCTCGGATGGGTAGATTACTTTATTTTTTTACCCATGGTGCTCCGCTGGCGCGCTTCGCGCGCGACAGCTCCGCTATAACCCCTTTCGTAAAATGCAACTAGTGGTCCATTTTCAATTGCAATGCTGCTTTCTGTTTGGTTGAGCTACTACTAAGCTATATGTTATAGCCCGCTGGTAGCGAAAAGCACCGGCTTTGAAAACCAAAACAATGGCGGCTGAATCGTGTTTTGTTAGCTTAAGTTGTTTTGTACCAACTAGTTGAATTTTACTAAAACATTTATTCTTCTCGACCTCATGGCCTCTGATTCAATAGCCCATTCGGCCTTCGGGCTCATGGGCTATTGACTCAGAGCCCATTCGGCCTCGAGGAATAATTGTTAATTGTTATTCACTCAAAATATTTTCCATTTCTGTTTGGCATGATCCCCAGGCCAGGCTAACTGTATATGACCAACTAGCGTTTACCAAATTTGGAGGACCTTTTTGATATCTAGCAAAATGACGTGAATTGTACGACTGAAAAAGGCAAATGACGACGGCAACTTAACATCGATCGGAGTAAGCATCATTGTTCCAGCTTGTTTTCAAGAAATGAAACTGTATATTTTTACTTCAGTCGTATGATCTGAAGAATCATGGGGATCTGTACAGTACCGCAAATGATCCCCAAAATGGACCGCAAATGATCCTCGACCGTAAATCGTGATCTCCAAAGTGAACCGCAAATGATGCCATTAAGATTAGAAGAATGGAATGGATCTTAGTTGGATACTGGGGGCATAGGGCAAATCACACAGCAGTAAGTAGCAGAGTATTTCATTCGGGTAAACTACGGCTTTCTCCGCCACGGGCGTTGCCCCTTTTTTGAAGTTTCGGAACGCAAGACAAATTTTCACGTATTTGAATGTCACGGTGGGAGTATCCTGTAAAATTAATGTCACTAAGCAAATTCCTTTCAAATTCCAGCATAACTGAAATGAGGTCCAGTGTCTCCAAGCGCTTGTTCAGAAGCTCCAGCATTGCGATTAGAGCGCCGCTTTCTGACAAATTAACTTCAAGAGTTTCGCTTGAAATGCTTTCTTCTACCCTCATGGCTGAAATGCTAGTGGTTACCACTAGCTTCGTGCCTGGAATAAGTGCCAACTTGTTTCCAATCATCGTTCTGAGCTTCCTTTCCCAGTTTGGGCTATAGCTCAATAGATATGACCGCCAGTTTCCCTGGAGAAGGACGACAAAAAGAGTCGATTCGTCTCCTACATAGAAAAAGAATCATTCTAAGAACGTTTGTTGTCATTATAGGCTCTATAGACCTCTATAGACCTTTATCCTTTCTTCTTGCAAATTAATTGTAACGGAATAGGTAACTGTTGTATTTCCCGACGGCCCTAGGACGAGAGCCTTCATTGCATGATTCATGATTACGAGGCATTCTCGTCCCCAGAGCCACGCGGCTTAATTTGTAACCGACGTGACATGACCAAGAAACGACTGGTTCTACGAACGAGAAAGGACTACGAGGCTAATGCGGGTCAACCTCTCCAGTTCTTCGCGAAAATAAAAACAAACATATATAATATAAGTCGCTGGGAAAGGGAAAAAATCATGAAAATAATGTTTCAAGGTTTAAGTTAGCTAAAGGTTTCTCTATTTCAAAAAAGAGCGGGTCGTACTAACAGAGAAATGAAAAAAAGCCACGACTGAAGCTTAAAAATGATAAATTTTGTCAAAATGTCAATATTCCATTCTTTTGTATTTTCAAACTTCTCAAATATTATTCTATTTTACTCGTGTACATCTGTAAAATGGAGTTTAAACCGCTTGATATTATCACCTAGGATGATTCTGTGTTCAACTTCTAATCGAGTGAAGTGTGCATATTGCGTACGTCGATCTGTTTTTTTTTTTTTTTCACATGCGACTTAAGATTCTTGATAGACAATGTAAGCTAAATGTATCAATAATCTTATACCTTTCAAGTCATCTTTGTTCATTCCGATTTCACTTCCTTACAGTAAAATGACTTTCTCTGCAAAACTTTAGCCCCATCCTGATAGATATCTATTCACCGAACGTCGTGTTAACTTGTTCGGTTTATTTCAATTAATATACACGTTATTTTTCATCCTTTCTGTTTAAAAATGTGAACTGAAAAGTAGGTATTTTAACTTAATTATTGCCATTTTTCCACAACTACGTCCATTTTAAGGAAAGGTATAACGATCCCTGAAATTAACATTGAATGATGAATTCAAGGTTTTATCATCATGTTTTAGGAATTTTGAGACACCCACTCTTTCGGTCTATTTCTGGTTACGGTCGTTGTTTTTCTTAGTGTCAAAAAGCTGATCTTATTTTTGCTGTCCGAAACAATGATTTCTTAACCCTGTAACTTAGTTGGGAACCCACCGAAACCTTAAAACTTTAAGATTTTCCTCCTTTTCCGACAACTCAGCCGCAGCTTTCTCATGTTTGTTTGTTTTCTTGCCAAAAAGAAACTTATTATCCTAGCTTTCGCGCGAAAACAAGTACTCGCCTTAGGTCGCCCAGGAATACGAAACTTACCTATTATACGGATCATGAAGTCATTTTTAATTAGAATTCGGAGTTTCAACGTTGACTTAGTATGAAAATATGCAAGTTCTTTCACAAATTAATGTCCAACAGTCAACCATAAGAATGAATGCTCAAGTCAGACATTCCTAAGGTCGATGAACGACTGTTTTCAGAACAACTAACATTTATGCAATTTGCAATGGAAATGCATGAAAAAGTGATATTTAACAATTATTCCACAAGTGCGCTTTGAATATGCAGAGGGCCAACGAGGCGCGTAGCGCTGAGTTAGATATAATCATTTCATATCCAACAAGCGCCAGTAGAATAATTGTTTTATTAAAAACGCCCCACAATATCGAGAATTCTTCCCGAATAAATTTGTAAAAACAACCGAATTTCAGCTTGTTGTTTATTTTGAGCAGACACGTACAGTTGCCATATTTGGAGAGCATGGTATAATGGCTCATAATACAGTCGAACCTCTTGGTACGGACACCTCTCGATTACGGACAGTTTCCAATGTTCCGACAAAATTCTCATATATTTAAAAACATAAACCTCTATAATACGGACAACGGACACTAAATCCCGACCCCAGAGAGTAAATTCATATAAACTTAACTTCTTTACTACGGACGCTGCGATGATCAGGTGATTCCCGAATCCCGATCAGGTGAATCTGCACAGGATGAATCCCGTCTTTTGGCTGATGAGCTATGCAAGGTGATATAAAACCCAGTCACTGTATTACCAAACAACGATTTGCGAAAGGTGCACTGAGGAACATAACCGACTTTTTGAAGGTTTCAATAACTACAGATAGCATAAAGATCTTTTCTATTACATTTTGTACTCTAGTTACTGTTTATTGCACTTGCAAATTGCGAAAGACGCTTTCAGAATTCTGATTTACGTTACAACTTTTTCCATGCAGCATTGCGCTATAGCTCATTTCGTTTTAAAACAGTAATTTGTCTGTAGCTGAGATGGACAATGTTGTATGCTACTGAAAGACAGTGTCTTTGTACTGTGAATTAATAACTTTAAATGCAGTTTAAAGACGAGTGTAAGCCTGGTTTTAGCTACTGAACACTTAATACTGTAAGTGAAGTCATAAAAGTGACGTAATCATGGTGACCTCTTTTATATGGACACGTCTCTAATACGGACACTTCGCTCTGTCCGTTCGGTGTCCGTATTAGAGAGGTTCGACTGTATCTAAAATCTAAAATCGATCAGTTGTTGCACAGGTAGCCCAAGCTCGAAATATGAGCATCGGCGAGCATCGGCATTGTTGCGTAACATTCAGAATATAAGGATTTGTATGGGAAAAAAAACCTATCGTTTCCTTAACCTACGAAAATGAAAGGATTTCAATAAAAAACAGCTTACCTCATTTAAAATGTGTGTTACGTCACTCCTGTGTGGTCCACGGGCCGATTTATGGCCGTTTTATGGGTTTTTATGTAAACGGTTTTCTCTCTACATAAAGGTTTACCAAGGTTGGGCACTCCAGCGAAGCGGCTCGACTGATCCACCGAAGGAAAACTACCGGAAATTCGCTCCAACTGCTCCAATCGCCTCCAAATTCCACCTAGCTAACACACGATAGTTCTTCTTTCCATTCGTTATCTTGCTTCAAGACTCCTTTGCAACGAGAGCGAATCAAAGGTCGCAAATTCTCTGCAACCTTTCCCGTCTGAATCCATCGACTAAGGCTCGGCGTGAACTCCGCTTTACCGTTGACAGATAGCGACACGGCCTGAGACTCAAATTACTCACACTCGGGGTGGGAGACAGTCTCTTGCTCCCGTTGTTTTCCTATTGAGTCAACGGGAGCAAGAGACTGTCTCCCACCCCGAGTGTGAGTAATTTGAGTCGCAGGCCGTGTCGCTATCTGTCAACGGTAAAGCGGAGTTCAGGCCGAGCCTCAGTCGATGGATTCAGACGGGAAAGGTTGCAGAGAATTTGCGACCTTTGATTCGCTCTCGGTGCAAAGGCGTCTTGAAGCAAGATAACGAATAGAAAGAAGAACTATCGTGTGTTAGCTAGGCGGAATTTGGAGGCGATTGGAGCAGTTGGAGCGAATTTCCGGCCGTTTTCCTTCGGTGGATCAATCGAGCCGCTTCGCTGGAGTGCCCAACCTTGGTAAACCTTTATATAGAGAGAAAACCGTTTACATAAAAACCCATAAATCGGCCCCTGGACCACACAGGAGAGACGTAACACACATTTTAAATGAGGTAAGCTGTTTTTTATTGAAATCCTTTCATTTTCGTAGGTTACAGAAACGATAGGTTTTTTTCCCATACAAATCCTTATATTTTGAATGTTACGCAACAATGCCGATGCTAATATTTCGAGCTAGGGTGACCTGTGGTTGTTGTATGATCGATCAGTTGTGCGTATTTCCATTCACAATTGAATGAAAATACAGGAACAACTGAATGAAAATACGCACAACTGATCGATCATGACATCTGATCGATTTAGACACAAATCCGATCCGCTAAACGAATTGATTGGCTAAAATTTTTAACAACTGAAAAGTCGATTTTGAAACAAACGGCGCGCCATATCACGCAACGCTCCTCCCTCTAAAACGGCTGTGTAGCAAACTTTTTTATACTTTGTTTGCGAACGCGAGGAGAGTTGATGTTACCAAATTTCGAGTTTGAGGCCTGTTCAGACACCGTACTTTTCATGTGCCGAAACTAATTGAATATTAAAGTTCCACTTTGGAGCGACACTAGCGCGGCTAAACAGGTTCTTATATGGGTATGAAAGCGGAAAATTTCTTCCAGCAGGTTCTTAAACGCAGGTTCATTCAACTGTATAAACCGCAAGCAACCAGCGGCAAAAATACACGCAGGCTAGGAAATCTTTGTCTACGGAAAACCAGGCATTATCAGTATAGCTTTTGTTCTTGTTCAGCAAAACCAGCCTTTCGCCAGCTTTGAAAGTGTTAATACCACTATTTTGATAATATTTTTCAGTTGATTATTCTCATTTGATAATCTGGGGCATTGCCAGTAAATATGTCCTCAGTATGTGGGACATTATCCTGGTCCCGTTTGGGGTTCCCAGTGTCAAGTGCTCTGTACTTATAAAATATAGATTGTGTCAACAACAAAACTCTTGAATTTTCTTAGTTTTCAGCAACCGTTATGCAGCCCCAGCACTGTCCAATTTGACCTGTCTGATTAGGAAACTGCTTGTAATTGAACAGGTCAAATCGGACAGTTAAAAGAGCAAATGAAAATTGAGCATCAGATGTTGCTAAAAATAACCAATTAAGGTTTATCAAATTAGTCCATACTAGCAAACCAAACTGCCAAGGAAAACACTTCAGTGAACACGTTTTCCAGTTTCAGTTTGACACATTATTATTTTTTTAAAAATTTAATTAATTAGTTCATGCAGTTAGAGCTCCATATTCCAACAAAAAGTTGTTAACGCCACGTTTTTACGTCGGAAACTTTAAGCTGATGTAATAAGACTCACTGAAATAAATATTTCAATTCTGAGATTCTCGCATTTTGTTATTGACACAATTACTTGGTAATAGGTCTCTTGCCGTACAGTTTAGGGGTAATCAGGCTTATAATTTCAAATCGACTTCGCGCTAAACTTACTCGCCTGATAGACCTATTCGGCTAACTCAATGTTGTACCCAATTCAAATCTCCCGGGGATAAGATTCTTTGTGTATTGCATTTGCATTATAATGTGGCATTCACATTTAAATGATATGGAAATTCCTGAAACAAAACGTTTTATTCCCAGAGGGTTTGAATTGGGTACAACAATGAGTTAGCCGAATAGGTCTATTACTCCCTGAGTTGCAACCCCACTCGTTCCTATTACCATTACTTAAAATTAATAATATCCAACCTTCATCATTTGCTTGCAGATCTTTCCATTTGTCGATGACAGTTGAAACAGCCATTTCAACTTCCTCTTTCTGTTTTTTTAGTTCTTCCGTCTTCTCCTTTATCTGCTTTTCGATCGATGGTTTTCTTTCGTTTTTCCATCGTTCCCTTTTTTCTTTCAGCTCTTTTAGTTCATTTCTCATCGCACGCTCCTCTTTGCGGAACACACTCAGTAGCTGGTCATCCGTGTTGGGGACCAATGTTGCTTCTTGCTGCTTAGAGTTGATTCCTGGTTCTTGTTCCTCAACGTGTAATTCAGATGATCTCCTTTGCCTTTGCGCTCTTCTTCCTTTCCGTGTACCAGCCTGTTTTCTCGCATACCACGATTTCTCTCCTGGGATCTTTCTTTCAAGGCACGTCTTTAAGTGCGCTTCCCTTTCCTCTGCTATGCTGTCATCTCCTTCTTCTTCAATCTTGAGTGCCATTAAGTGTTCAACATCTTCCGACAATTTCTTTAAAATATTTGAGGTCAACGTAGTTATTTCGTTTTGAGAATTGAGATTTTTTAAAAAAGATCCAACTCTCCTTGCCGCATCGTTGCCTGTGGTAGGTTGATTGGCTTCACAGGACTCGATTATCAAAACCTCCACTTTACTGAACACCTTTATAGGGCGGTTGGCGTTCGATAACTTTTCTATTTCTTTTAGCGGAAGAGCTGGACGAAGCGTTCGTCGTTTTGTTGCCTTCTCTAAGAATTCTGCTAGGTCATACAGTTTTAGCGCCTCAAAAACTTCCTTTAGCAGTTTGACTGGGGTATCAGGAAAAATATTTCCAATGTTCCCTCGCCGGTCGCGCTTGTCGTACAGTAAATCCGGATCAAGGCCAAAAGACCGGTAAAATCGGTTGAGAACATTTCTGTTGCTGTAAAGCCTGGACGTTAGTTGCTCAGTGACTTCTTTACTTAGATCTTTCAAGCACAGTTTGGAGGTGGGATCTACAAATACACGACAATAACAAAAGAAATCTGATTAAGAACTATTAACTCCAGTGTCTCAAAAGAAATAGCTATCAATTTGAACGGAACGGTCAATAACAGTATGAATTGATTTCAGGTGCATGAATTTGAAGAGGAGATGGTGAGAAAATGATGGAGAAACGGATAAAGTGTTTCATATTTCATTGACTTTTAAAGGAACTCTGTTTTACTTCTGCGCCTGTGCCTTGCTTGATTATTTATCAAAATTCCCATGTGTCTCCCAATGAAGGCTGAACGGAATAAAACAAATGAATCGATTGTTTATTACTGAATTTCAGTGCGTTTTCTTTATATCCCTTTGCCTCGTAGCCAAGTGAAAAATTCGATTCCGATGGAACCCTTGATGGCAAATGCCCAGTGGGAACGCGCTACTTTGACAAATGTCTAAGGGGGCGAGCTTGGGCACGCTTGGAATTCTTACTGACTATAAGACAAACTGTCATACCGCTGGTTTCTTCAAATCCAAATTCAGATGGGGCACTACTCGATCCCGGCTTTCCACTGTCGTCTTCCGTAGATACACTATGTACATCTGTATCCCTGGTTTGCTCTAAGTAATTCGTGATGTAGGACAGTTTTTCCTGAGCAAGGTATTGAAATCGCCTACCTTCCTGACCGTCAGGATCATCTGAAATCAAAATGGTACCCAAAAATGCCGATGTCAATGAGTAAGAATATATGTTAATAAAAAAATGTTTGGGCTTTGGGTTAAGACGATCAACGACAGAGGCCAGAATGTTTTGGTAACGAACAACAACAAACACTGAATGAGGATGAAGTGAACTGCGGAAATATTTCCGCAGTTCACATCATCTTCCTCAGTTACAACTCTGAAGATCATATCTTCATTTAGGCAACAAACACTGTTCGGCCTAGAACTAAAATATATACGTAGGTTTATTGATTTTACTGCTCTCTTGGAGTAGTTTAGCAATAAATCAATATTCACCCGGCAATTCTACTAAAATTTCGAAAATTCCATATATGTTAGGGACTTATTTCGACAGTTGGGCTTAGCAACCCAATAAGACGGTGATTCACGGGACCACCTTTGACCTCAACAGTAAGTGAAAAATGTCTCCGACAGGAGCCCACAAACTTCTGGTGCAAATTCCAGATAATTTGTTACTGAAATTGACCTGCTACGTTTTTTATATGTATGTTTTTTTACTTTACGACCTTGTGCTTCGACAGTTGCAAGCTCGTCCCGGGCCTTCTCGTATTCCTCGTCTTCGATGGTCACAACCACTTCAACTTGCTCTCCACCAGCAAGTTCTTTCATTTCGTCTGTAACAAATAAAACTTGCAGGCGCTTTTTAAGCGTCCCATTCTTATACACTCTCCACAAGCGTTCAAGAGCTGCGAGACTTTCTGCCTGAACTTTCAAGTACACACTCCCATCAGTTATTTGTAACAGTCTGGTGCCAGCAGGAAGGATGCA